TTCTTTCTTATCTTAGAAGAATAATTATATTAAAATTCTAATTACTAAATTTTATCTCAAATATTGACTTTATCTAATTGTGGAGTCCAAATAAAATAGAGCATGTAAAAAATAAGTAGACTATTGGGTTATACTAGAAAATAAATCCAACACTGATGAGATGGAAGGGGAATAAGAGAAAAAATTAAGGGTCAAACTTAGAATTTCAAAAATGATAAATTATTGGCATTGAACTTAACGGTTGACTAATAAAATTACAATACCGTTGATTGTTGGAAAATTTGAATTAAAATTTACTTCAATGGTTGTGTCTCTTGAGACAAAAGGGTGTGTCCTTTTGAAGGATCACAACTTTTCTGAAGAGTCACATAGAATCTATATATTCCATCTCCCTCACTTCACTTTGGATGGTGAATTGTCATTTTTCTTCTTCACTTTGCATTATTCTTCGTATTTCCTAAGTCTAATTTTCCTATTAAAAGAGTACATGCACAGCAAAGTTTGTTAGGCTTGCAATAGTAGTGCTGCTAGTGCAAGCTATTGATCGTTGTATCCTGGGAGATAGACGCCCATTGAATCCTAAGCACCGATGGGAGGACGAATCTGTCTTAAAATTGTTAGAAAAATAATACCAAATTATATGAAAAATATAATTTTAAAATATGTATACGGTTTTTTGGCAAAACCAAAACTGAAATAAAACAACATAATAACGTGATAAAACTTACAATACATAAATAGATAAACCTGATCGAATCGAGTGCGTGACACTCTCTCCTTAAGACAGATTTGAGGAATCTTTTGTGTTGATTATTATTTGTTAATAATCAATTGAAAGCTATTTTTAAAGTAACTTTGAATTTTTTGAGATAAGATGTCTTCAGTCTTTATTTCACTTGTGTGGTAGACTTGGTTTAACCATAAATCATGTTCTTAAAATGGGAGTTATTATTTGTGACAGTAACACTTGTCTGGAAATGAATCATGTTGTTTGTGCTAATTTATGTATTATCACAAATGTGGGGGATAGAGATTAAATTATGATTATGATTGATTTGTTAATTTTGTCTATGTCTACATATGTTATTATGATTGATTTGTTAATCTTGTCCATGTTTACATATGTTGTAGAGTTAACAATATATGATGTCATTAATATCAATTTGGTATGTGGTGTATTATAAATGGATGTCAATTATTTATCAAAGTATTAATAAAAATGTGAACTTATGTGTTTTGACATAAGAGAAATTCTAATTATTCTTTGGAATAATGACTAAAATTAGTGTGGTGACTAACACTTTGATAATTGTCAACATAGTCACCAATACTGGATAAGACAAATAAGATGTAAATGTATTTATATAGTGATATTTATATTCTATGTTGAGATTGGAATTAAGGGTTGCAGTAAACAAAAACAAATTAATCATGGCTAAAGAAATGTTATTTGACAAAGTGTTGTGGCCACAACCGGTTTTAGTCATTTCTTCTTTGTACTGCAAAAGCAAGTTATGAAGTCTAATTGTTTTTAGACAAATCAGTATTGTGATTATATTCACAAAGCAATTTACATCTTGTTATTTAGTTCAAGTACGCCAATTAATGATAGATTCTAATTTATCTCAGAATTGTGGGGGTGTATTAATATTTTTTGTAATTATACATCAACAAGAGAAATTAAGTTTTCTTAGAATGCTTAAAATGTGGGGGTGCTTGGTGTATTTTACCAAAGTAACGGTTCCGATTGTAGGTCCACAAAGAATCTCAATTCTTTCTATAGGACAAAGTTGGAGTAGAAGCAAAAATAGTTTCATTAACTTCTAAGGAACAACTCTATGTTTATTATTTTAAATTTGAAAATGGGAGTGACATAGAGTAACGGTAAGTCTAAATGTAATCAATGACTTAATACCGTAGGACATTTGCTTTCAGTTGTGAATATTGTCTAAAGGATAATATAATGGATCCACTAATGATTTATAATTGAGAAGGTCAAAACGAAAAATAGCGGCCGCTAAACAAAAAGTTTGACCAGAGAGCAAATAGGGGAAAGTTTATCGAGGGGAATGTGATTAAAGCCTATTACACAAGAGTCATCATAATGGTAACTCTACTTAGATGACTGAAAATCCCAAGAACTAAGTTCTAAGGGACAACTAAGTTATGTGTGGCTCGTCAGAAATCACTAAAGGAGACTATCTCATATCCATTCCTATGATGAGAGTGATATCTACAACATGTGTCGTATGTAGGGGATTTAGGGTAAGCTATGCTTTTAATGATTACTTATATCTTGAAAAACCTAGAGGGGTATCTTTCAAGAGGAGTATTTGAGTGACTCGAAATAAGGATCACCTATATGAGTGTGAGGGGGCTGCTTCTATGAGAATTAATAAGGCTAAATTTTCTAAAGCACTCATGAAACACCAGGACTTGCCCAAGGCCAAAACGGGCACAACCGTGAGAACTAAATTGTGTCTGGAGATATTTTGTGTGAATTCTATTGTCTTGCCTTACACAAACGGCTGAACAGTTCAAGGCATCACGTCCACTGATTAACTAGTAAGTCCGATAGACTTTCACTAGGGAAGGTTCAAAGCTGAAAGCTACCTATCCTGATGCAGGATATTTCCTTAAAATATACTCACTCTTTCTCTGCATGTTGTTGTTGTTGCATGTCCTTTTTGTAAATTTCATTCTTGTGGGGGATTGTTGGAAAATTTGAATTAGAATTTACTTCAATGGTTGTGTCTCTTGAGATGAAAGGGTGTGTCCTTTTGAAGGATCACAACTTTTCTGAAGAGTCACATAGAGTCTATATATTCCATCTCTCTCACTTCATTTTGGATGGTGAATTGTCATTTTTCTTCTTCACTTTGCATTATTCTTCATATTTCTTAAGTCTAATTTTCCTATTAAGAGAGTACATGCACAGCAAAGTTTGCTATGCTTGCAATAGTAGTGCTGCTAGTGCAAGTTATTGATCGTTGTATCCTGGGAGATAGACGCTCATTGAATCCTAAGCACCGGTGGGAGGATGAATCTGTCTTAAGGAGAGAATGTCACGCACTCGACTCGATCAGGTTTTATCTATTTATGTATTTTAAGTTTTATCACGTTATTATGTTGTTTTATTTCAGTTTTAGTTTTGCCAAAAAATCGTATACATATTTTTTAAATTATATTTTTCATATAATTTGGTATTATTTTTCTAACATTGATTACACGAGAGGAGAGGGATGTATTTTAAACATAAAAATTAGGAAATTCCAGTATAATTTTTACCCTTAAAATAGTTATTCATTCATTATATTTGAATATATACAAGACTCGCAAACCAAGTAGATTAAAAAATCCTTTATTGTGCTTCGGCATTCAATACCACACCTTGTTTATGCTAGGGATGGCAATGGATAACCTACCATGTGGGTATTTATGGAGACCTAACTCAAATACATAGGTTTTTTCCTATTTTTCTTATCCATTGGGTAGGGTAAGTGATATTCTTTAAATATCCATAGGGTATGGGTTGGGGATGGGTATCCACTAATTTCCCCAAATTTTTTTTTTTTTTTTTTTTTTTTTTTAAAGATTCACAACCAAAACTAAATGTACATTTAATCTTTTTTCTTTTATTTTTTTTTTCAGGTTCACAACCATTTTTTACAACTGAAAATTATTAAAATTTTTACATTTCACATAACATATTTTCTTCAAAAATAACAAAGGGATCACATTGAAATGTAAATAGAAGTGTGAGTTTACATTGATGAAATTGAGACTACGAGAATCGAAAAAAAGATGGACCAAAGGTATAATTTACAAGATAAGGCTTGTCTCTAGTTTGTATTATAAATTAAACCACACTATTATTTCATTTAACCTCACTATAGAGTTACTTACTTCATTTAATTTATTCATTTTCAAAAGATTAATAGTTACAAATCATTCATTTAAAAAAATTAATTAATTTAATAATTCTAACCCTGTGGTTTATTATCAAACAAATGGATTAATATTACGATTCAAGTAGATGAAATCATTGACTATGATTTTCAAATTAAACAAAAAAAAATTCATTGATAATTTACCAGATCATAAAAAGTGGATTCTACAGTGGACCTAGACCGGCAATACGGCCCTAGACCACGATTGGATTGGGGATGGGTAAACCCAATCATATAGTATATATATATATATATATATCAATATTTATTTGAGTAGCAGCAGTTGTAACTTTTTCTTTCTTCTTCTTTTTATTTTTATTTTTATAAACAATTTTTTAACGTTGGATAAACATCCCAACTATAGCTATTAGTTTATGCGATAACAATTTTTATTTGTTATTAGTATAGCTGATCCTAATTTAGAAAAAAGATTTAAGGTATATTTAGTTTTTTGTTGTGAATCTTAAAAAAAAAAGAAAAAAAAGGTTTTTTTTTTTTTTTTTTGGTGGATTAAAAAGAAAAAAAGTTGTTAACATTAAATATACTTAAAAAGAAAGAAAAATGATAAGAATATTTTAGTTTTTGTGTGAAACTTAAAAAAAAAAAAAAAAAAATTGTTAACATTAAATATATTAAAAAAGAAAGAAAAAGAATTTGAGGTATATTAGCTTTTTGTTGTTGAACCATAAAAAAAAAAAAAAAAAAAATTTGTTAACATTAAATATATTAAAAAAGAAAGAAAAAAGATTGAAGGTATATTTAGCTTTTATTGTGAAGCTTTAAAAAAAAAAAGTGATTGTTAACATTAAATATAAAAAATAAAAATAAAATAAAAATAGGGGTTAAAGTGGGTTGGGAAAAATCCAAACCCATTAGGAAATGGAGAGGGTGGTACCCATGGGGAATGGAGAAAATTTATTATAGGGGAATGGGGATGGGAAATTAATATCCACCCCCATTAACCCCCATTGCCATCCCTAGTTTATGCTAACCTCAGAACAAAATGGCTCGTACTAATAAAATGGTTCCAAACAAATGCAGCCAAATCCATCAAAAAAATTTAAAATGGTGATATATGGTGAAATCAAGATCCAATCCTGTTCTAATTACAAGTAATGCAGCCAAATGCTTTAAAGAGAATCGCAAAAACATAATACGTGCTGAAATAAAAGGTTATACTAGCTTTGTCTAGAATTCAATGCTCCACATCCACCTCTAGACACACAAATTGATATTCTCATACAGCATAGTGTCGGAGTCAGAATTTTAATACAATCAACTCACTCAATAACTCACACTCAATGCCTCACTCTTTCTTGGGTAATATAACTTAGCAAATAAGCTACTAATTAGAATGAGAATGAGAATGAGAATCAGACGTAGCCACCATTGACACGAACGACCTGGCCATTAACCCACTCACCAGCGTCGCTAACCAAGAACCCAACAACAGGAGCCACATCGTGGGTCTCACCGAGTCGACTCAAAGGGCACTCCTCCACCACCTTCCTCACCATCTCCTCCGTCTTCCCATCGAAAAACATCTCAGTAGCAATCGGCCCTGGAGCCACGCAGTTAGCGGTGATTCCCGTCCCTTTCAGCTCCTTTGCCATTACCTTCACCATCGCTTCCACTGCTGCCTTGGACGCTGCATAAGCCCCAAAACCCTGCCTCAGCGACCCTACCTGCGACGAAGACAAGCATATAATCCTCCCACCACCGCCCCGCTTCAGCCGATTCGCTGCCTCCTTGCAGCAGAGGAAGGCCCCCCTCGTGTTCACCCTGAGATGAGATGAGATAGCTAGCTCTATTTGCTTAATACGAATAGGAATAATGAGATTAATTAAATTGAATACCAGAATGAAACGATATGATATGATATGATGATTTTTCAAACTCGCTTCTACAATTACCATATTTCATTTCATTCCATTATAATGCTGATTTTATTTACAATTCATTTTTTATTCTTATAAGAATAGACAGACATTTGAGAAAGGCTACTAATATATGTCCACTCTGTTTTTGAGGTACATGCATATGACATGTGATGTAAAATGGAGTATAATTTTTTTAACAAAATGTAAGTAGTATAATTTTTATTATAAAATGCATAACTTAAGTTTTACATTATAATTTCATCCTTCATAATTTTCATCACAAAACTTGTAGTAACTTTTGTCACATAATATTTATAATTTTTATCATAAAAATCACAACTTTTCTTTTCTTACAATGTACAAGTACACATATTGAAGTAGCATTTTTCTAAATATTTTGATGAAATAATCAGCTTGTTTGTTTTTATTTTTTAAAAACTTTTACGTTCTTATTTTTCGTATTTTTTTGTGTTTTATTAAATTTTTTTAATATTTTAAATATTTTTTTTATTTTTTAGACACGCCTAACATAAATACATTTAAAAAGTAAAAAATATAAAAAAAAAATTTAAAATTCACTAAATACCAAAAATATAAAAATTTAATACATTTTTTATATTTTTATGTATTTATTAATTTTTTAAAATATTTTTCACAAATTTTTTACTTTTTAAATACATCTAAGTAAAGTGCACCTAAAAAAGTAAAAAAAATGTTTAAAATTTTAAAAACATTCACTAAAAACAAAAAAAAACACGAAAATCAAAATACTCGATTTTCAAAAAATTTAATCTAAAAAGCTCAATCCAAACATATTGATGTTATCATTAATTTGTGCTCCCTCTCTATTAAATTCCTGACTACGCCACTGCCTGCGCACAAAGAGAACCTAAACTGTAACGCCCTCAAAATAATACACAAAATCCATTACTTTAGACATGCATTGACATAAAAGAAACCAACCATTTCTATTCATCAGAGTAAGTCTTACAACTGTATTACATGTTAACAACAAAAGCAAATGCCCTATGGGCTTACAGCTTTCCAAGTCAACACCTGAT